GACTTTCTCGGTTCTATAGGGATGTGAGAGAAGGGTCATGACTAAAATTTGGCGCTGGAAAGAAAATTCGAAGACGTACGAGGTTTCAAAGACTCGTGATGGCTCGCTTTTGGATCCCGAGTTTCCAACCTTCTCTTATTTAAATTCTTACTGGTGGAGGAAAAAATCCTTAAAACGGGCTAAATTCAAAAAATAACCACGCAGAGCGAAAGAAGTGCTATTTCTCAATGATAGGGTCAAATTTCGAGGCTTTATTTCACGTTTTGACGATTTTATTGAAATTTTTGATGATTCCCCATACATTTCCTTATAACAGGACACCACAGAAACCAAGCTTGGGCTACCTGTGCTCTTACTAGGATTTTCTCCGTCCTTGGGTTTCTTTGAAATGTTTTCCTACTTCCTCCACAAATTTAAGATCAGCTTCTAAATCCCCCTAAATTATATTTTAGTTGACGGATAGCTTCTCTGTAGAAATGCCGCTGCGAAACCATTAATATTAAGCCGCTTTTTGTTCGTATTCGAAATATCAAATTCCTTTGAAAATAAGTACTAGAAGGTACGAGGTTGGAATTCTTTCCGACTATTCTTATCGAGTACATTCGCCCTTGACGTCGACCACTGACTGAAGTGTGATGGGATGCCAACCCCCATTCCATAGCTTATTCCTATACACTTTGTTATGATTATGATTCTTGCATTTAAACATGGAGGAAAATGTATAAGTCATGCTTTTTTTTTCGTACCATACTTATTAGACTATTTAATTGCAAAATGTATATCTATTTAGTAATTTGAGGATAAACTTAAGCTGAAGACTTCTAAATCATACATGTATTGTTGCCTTGACTAGGGTGTTTGGAAAAATCACTTGTTGGAAAGGAGAGAAATTTAAATATACCTGACAGCAGATACTCAGCTTCATCATCTTTTGATGGGCGATATGTACCTCATAACGCCAAACTGTACGGCAAATATGGATGGGCACCCAAAAAAGATAATATTCCTGATGATTACCTGCAGATTGACCTCGAAACTTCACGTGTTATTACTGCTGTAGCAACACAAGGAAATGGTGGTGATTCAGACAGCTCACATTATAGAAACATATATGAGTGGGTGACGAGCTACAACTTGAACTTTACAAATAACATAAAAAGCTGGAAAAGATATGGACAAAAGGTATAATCTACTAGGTGTTATCATTGATATTTTCCTGTACATCTAAAATCTGAAAACTAACCAAAAGAGTAATAACATAGCCCAATCCATAGGACAGTGACCACGTTGTTCCTTACGATTTAACGAAAACAAATAAATAAAGAAAGAAAAAAATAAAGAACACGCAAAAACATAATGCAGATCGATTGATGATTTTATTCTATTTTTTAGGTATCGGGAAACTACAACCAAAATAACGTAGTACGACATGATTTCAAAACACCTATCACGGCCCAGTACATAAGATTTATACCACTGGAATATATAAATGCTAAGACAATGCGAGTGAATGTTTACGTATCCACTAAAATACAAGGTATGACTGCGGGAAATGTTCGTTTGATTCGAAGAAGCAACTATATTGTAGAGAAAAAGTTTTTGGCTTTAATTTTAAATAACAAAACAAACGGAAAACTAACTAGAGTGGTGCAATTAAACCGTGAAATAAAAACAAACTAAATGCT